TTAACTTTGTTAGAAGATGTGCCAGTCAGTATCTACGAAGTATAAAATGTAGTTTCAACAAGATAGTTACCCTTATGTCTTGCAAAAAGACTCTTTCAAATAAGGTTAACCTAAAGACAAAATTAAACAAACAAATTTATTTATTATTAATTTTATAGCATTATTTTCTTAAAACTAAGGCAAATGCTCAAATTATTTGCCGTCGGCACTAATACAAGCTCTGCATCGTCACAGAAAGGATCTTTTTACTAGTTGTGCAAATCTCTTTGCATTTATTTCTTCTGCTGCTGTATAAATATTGTGGCGCAGTTCGGCAAGATTTTCAATCGGTTTTTAATACACTGTTTCTTTTATGCAATCCTAATAAGAAAATCAAGGGGATTTAGACTCAGAGAATGAGGAAACCACGTAATCGAACCACGACGCCCAATCCATCATTCTGGGTATTCTGTATGCAATCCCATACAGGACAAGCATAATGAGCTGGGCAACCATCTTGAAACCACATTTCTCTGTAGATATTGAGTGGCACATCTTCTAACAAAGTTGTTAAATCATTTTGGAGGAAATACAAATAACATACAAAAGTATGAATTTTTTAAATAACGCGTTTTTTACAGATAAACAGATAATATCTTTTAGGAAAAGAAAAATGGTAAGTGTTATACCATTTTGGAATCTTGACTAAACAGGCCATCTTTTAAAATAACTTGCCAACGGTGTTGTACTACTCCTTCGTTTAGAAATCGTGTGTCAAACTTAATAGACATAAATTCTTTCAACCTTAACTCAATCAAACTAATACTTTTTTTTGCAAAACTAACGACTTTTGTTGTTCGATTTGTGACTGCTATAGTAGCATAGTTCATGAGGAATACATTATTAAAAAAATCACTATTAAATTGCGAACATTTCTGACCGTAGTACCTAAAGATATGATGTACGGGAACGATTTTTAACATTTTCAAAAATATGTCTATTACCACTTAACTAAAAGACATAGAACTCTTTTCTTATTTTTACCAGAACAGGTATGAGTTGGCCTCTCACCCGGTGCCCGCTTGACGTTGAGTTTCGGGATAGCCTGTATATAGTTTGTGGGACATATTTCTTATAGTTATTGAATAATTAACAAAAATTCATTTTGTTCTATCTAAAACTAATGTATGTATTTAAAAGTTAATGTTGCATCATAGTATGCATATATACATACTATGATGGAACATAACGTATCAATTTTTTTTGTTCTTTCTAAAACTATTGTATGTATTTAAAACTTAACTGTTGTTATGGTGATAACCATACCATGATGGAAAACATTGTTTCCAATTATTGCCAAAGTTTGTAATAGTATATAAAAATTCACTAACAACTCTGGCATTATGTGCTGGTGCTCCGTCATATTGAAAATATATCATTTAAGACATATTTAATGGCAAATTGTCGACCAAAGGCTCAATGTGCTGCCTTAATATATTGAGATATTTATTCCAAAATTCTATTATCTAAAAGGGCACACCATACATTGAACCGTAATCTTCTTTGAACACTCAGAGACTTCATCGGTCCAGATGGCATTTTGAATAAACAGCAGATTATTTAATTTTTCTAAATATCATCTACAAAATTCTAATCTTAGATTGACAGCACGTAAATAATGCGTTAGCCCCGCTTGTATGGTTTATACTTATTTTTCTTTCATATTCGGAAGCAGCGGCTTTTGGGTCAGACGTCTTGTTAAATTTCTCTGCAAAATGTTGATGGATTTATCGCAAGTGCAGCCAACACATTGAAATCACCCTGTACAAGGTGTCCAAATTTCGATGGGTTTGCAAGGTATCTCAGTTATTATGAAAGATAAAAAGTTGCGGTTTTCGCGAACCTGAGCTACTTTTTTGTGTCAAACTTACGATCCCGCAAACCAAATTTTCATAGCCCTCTTCGTTTTTGACATACAGTTAGTGTTTCAAAATTTATGATTTTCAGACAACCTGTATCTCGGCTATCCGGAAACTAACAGGGGAAGTATCAGAACTGTCCCTCACCGATTTTGTTGAAATTTAATACAGCGATAGTATGGCCAAAAATAAGGTTTACGTATTTTTTTAATACGATTTAATTCTTCCCAAAGATGTTCGATTGGGTTTAGATCAGGTGATTGTGGAGGTGTTTCGATTACTTCTGGACAGTTGTAAAGTAACCATAGCCTTACATTATGGGCCTTATGTTTCGGATCGTTATCCTGATAAAATTGGAAGTTGTTTAGAAGGCCCATTTTATTTGCGGACGATTTTAAATGGTTCTTTAAAATATTCAAATAGCCATATTGGTCCATTATGCCTTCTATTATATCTATTCTGCCGACATACACCCCCAAACCATAACTCCACCACCACCGTGTTTTACGGTTGGCGCTAGATTTTCTTTTTTCATCTCTTCATTGCATTTTCGCCAAACCATTATCCGTCCATCACTTCCAAATATATTGAACTTACTTTCATCTACAAAAATTATCTTGTTCCAATAATCAATAGACTTCTCAATCATGTTTTTTGCAAACTTCAAGTGAAGTTTACGATTTCTGTCGTTTATGAAGAATTTTTTTCGAGCACTTCTACATACCATTATACCCTGCACTTCTAATAACGCGGCGTATGGTTTCAGAGTGTACGCATTTTCCTCCATTACTTTCTAAATTAGCCGCAATCTTAGCGGCACTCAAGCGAGTATTCTTTTTAATTTTTCGCACAATAATTCGTTTTTCCGCCTCATGTAAAATACTTGGTGCGCCACTTCCTGGTTTATTTGTTACCCTACCTTCATCTTTGAAGCGCTTTATAATGTCATGTACTGTTGATCGACTAATCTTCACAATTTTAGAAACTTCCCGAACCGATTTTCCTTCTTGATGATGGGCAATAACCAATTTTCTTATTTGAATGGAGTCGTTTCTGTTCTTTTTGGTGCCATTGTTCCAAAGATACAAATAATATTGTTGTCTTCACACGAACTTTGTACTTGACATTAACAACAATCAAATTTATAATTAGTGGTGCCATCTGTATATATGTAGCTGATTAAATTAGAGTAGCAAATCGAGTGTCCGATGATTTATGTGTGTATACTTCTACAGTCTATCCGACTTTATTTTATTTATTTTCAAAACTTTACAGAAAATTTTACTAAATTATTCAAGGAAATGTCTCTAAGAATATACTAAATACACTAAAGAAGGTGTAATAAATCAATTGTGAAGATAAATATATATTTCATGTATAATACATAAGTGCCCGATCACTTATGTGAGTCACTGTAGGTACATTTCATTTAAAAAAACGAAGGAAATGGACACCAAATTTCCGGTATAACCGAAAGTTGGAGAAAACTGAAAATATTTTAGCTGAATGAGATATATGATATACATGTCATATCATATAGACTCAGCTCGTCGTCATGACAGACCCTGTACTATTAAGCTATGTCACATTTTATGTGGGTATTTTATGTGCAAATTCACAGTAGTTTCATAACTATGGTTACTGCATTCATATATTGCAAGTTATATGAAATTCCTGGTAGATATTTGCACTTAAATATTGTATATATTCTGAATTTTAGGACCCATTTTCAATGGAAAAGGTCATATTTAATTACAAAGCTTTAAAAGCCAGATTCCAAGCAATACACGCAAGAATTTCATCCCANTTTTATTTAAAAAAATAAAGTAGGTGGCGACTTCCGGTATAACCGGAAGTGTTAGATATTTGAAAATATTTTAGTCGAAGAGAACGCAATTGATAATACTTAAATCTGAATTTTCAAATTTGTATTTTGGCCAGAACCCTGTAAAGTTCTAATAGACGGTCGTCGTGGATGACCCTGTATAATACTCTATACTTACCTTTGTAGTTTACCTCATTAATTTAAAAAATACATTATTTTATAAGTAGACTGTGATAAATTATGTGATCGCGTTGCTAGGATACCGGAATAAACAAAGTAAATTTTGTTAATTACTATCAAACTGAATTTTGAAATATTTTGAATATTTTACCACCACAGGAATCTATAATCATCACAATAATAGGATACCGGCATTGGCGTCAAGAAACCCAACATATTGTAATAGGGCCGTTAAGTTTTTTTTTATTGAAAGTTTTTTAAAATTGATTGACCCTATATTTTTTAATTTTTGATTCTGAGGCTTAGTTTTTCTAAAAAAAAATAATAAAGTTTGAAATTGCAGGGCGCGAACTCCAAAGTACGTCACTCAGATTTGAGCGTACGATTGGAGCGTATAAAATTAATAAAATTCCTGGAGAGAGACAATTAGGAATTGCAATCACGGGATTTCAATCCCCCAAATCCCGGGATTCCGTGCATATTTAAATCTCGAAAATTATCCCGGGAAATCGATTATAATTTCGGAATTTTCGGGGTTATGTTTATGTCATTAATTTACTATTTTTTAAAGAATAAGACTCGATCAATCGGTTGATACTGCAAGCACGCATTCGATATTACAAAATCACATAAAAAAGACTACGAAAAAGAAATTAAATTAATTTTAAATTGTCAAACTAGGAGTACACTGTTTGTTATGTTGGAGCGATTCATATTATTAAAAAAATGCACAGTACGAACTTATTAAAGCGTTAGTAACCATATTGGAACCGGCAAAGCTGACTGTAAAAGCCCTATGTTAGCGGTGTATTGCACTAGAAAAAGCGGATATAGCATTACAATTTATGATAAATGAGATAGAAGAACAAAATATATTTGAAAATGTCTAAACAAAGACCACAAAGCCACCTGTCCAGTTAACTAAGAATGCACTCTTCAATACATTGCTCCAGGAAGTTGATATATATAGTAATGGCGGTAGTATGGATAAAAATCTTCAATTCGCTTTTGAATGTTTGAAAACTATTCCACATATTTCAACAAGTGTGGAATCGCAACGGTGCTTCTCTTCAACACCAAATTTAGATCTCATTTAAGAGATAAAACAATAGATAAATTGATTGTTCAGCGACATTTCTTTAAAAATTGTGCTATCGATGGTTGATTTTTTTTGGTTGACATTTCTTGTATTATGCTTAGAATAAGCTGAAATGTTAGAAACACGTTAGAACGTCTGTGATTTCTTTCTTCTTACTTAAAACGTCATCTGGAGTCGGGGGCCGGGAATTTTAAAATTTAACATTATTTATTGCAAAAATTAAACAATTTTCGAACGTGAAAACGTTAATAATCCGTCGAATTTAATTTAGATTATCGATTTTTTGAAAGACGTTCTTTCTAATCGATTGACCTTAACGGCCCTATTGAGTGGGAGCGTCAAGGAAAATTTGGTTTTAGCGTAGTATGTTTTATTATTGGGCCACGAATTGTTTATAAAATACTCGTATATGAAGGAAACCTTTGCGCTAATCGCTATTTGGCTATCTTGCAAGAAGCTTTGTCAGATATTTTGGATGATATCTGTTATTCGGTCAAATAATATTTATTTTCAACAGGACAGAGCTTCTGCTCATAATACGCGGTTAGTGAGCCGAATTTCCTGGTAGGTGCCTATCCACGCATGGTCCAACGCGATGGCAGCAAGATCACCATTTACAGCAACACCCCATAACTATTCTAAATACAATTAAACGCATTACTAAACTATGTGAACAATGTGTGCATCAAAATGGTAGCAACTTTGAACAGTTCTTGTAACTTGAAGCCATATTTGCATCATTTTTAGTTTTTAATTATTTTTCGTTTTTTGCAAACAAAAATTAACAGATACATCTTTTTAATAAGTCAATAACTAAATAAAAGTAATATAACAGTAAAAATATTATAGTATTTTCGTGATCACTTAATTTATCATAGCCTACTTATAAAATAATGCGTTTTTAAATCTCTATACTATCAACGGTGGCCAAACTGCGGCTCGCGAGCCACATGCGGCTCTTTGAAGGATTATTTGTGGCTCTCGATAAATGTACCCGAGTACCTTTTTTTTTTAGTATATTTAATTTATAATTTCTGTAAACAAATTTTTTGTAATACCTTTTTTGCATACCGTTTTAATATATCCGTATTTAATTGCGGCTCGCGAAAAATTTCATATTGAAAAATGGCTCGGACCATCAAAGAGCTTGGCCACCTCTGCTATATCTCATTGAAAAGCTTGAAAAAATTCTAGTTCAATAAAAAAATAAAATATACGTGGTTCCATTTAAAAAAACCTATGTTGTGTTTATAACTCAAAAACCGTGATAATTAGAAAAATTCTACGTGCACCATTAGCTTCTACGTGAAAAAATCTATTAGAACCCTTTTTTACTAAGTTTCCGGATAGCCGAGATACACGGGGTGTCTGAAAATCGTAAATGTTGAAGCACTCCCTGTATGTCAGAAACGAAGAGGGCTATAAAAATTTGGTTTGCAGGATAGTAAGTTTCACAAAAAAGTTGCTCAGGTTCGCGAAAACCGCAACTATCTTTTTCTATCTTTCATAATAACTGAGATACCCTGCAAACCTATCGACATTTGGACACTCTGTACAACGTCTGTCACGACGAGCTGAGTCTATACAAGGTGTCTCAGCGAGATCATTCATTAGACGTTTATGGGGTTCTGGCCAAAATAAAAATTTGAGAATTCAGATTTAAGTATTATCAATTGCGTTCTCTTCGACTAAAATATTTTCAAATTTTTAGCACTTCCGGTTATACCGGAGTCGCCACCTATTTTATTTTTTTAAATGGCACACCTATATATTTTTACATATTTGGATTTGTCCATTTTCAAGGTTTATGAATAACTTTTTTTTGCAATTTGATTCGGCCGTTCTCTAGTTATTCGATTTTCTAAAAAAATCTGCTCTATACAATGTACAAAAATATGTCTTATATTTTTGTACATTGTAGGGTCTAATCTACTGATGAAGAACAAGGCCCGAAACCAGGTCTAGACGATAAATTAATAAATTATCACCAAAGTATCATTACATAATTTTTCTTTCAAAATATTAACACATGGTGAAAATGGATATATCCTATTACAATAACAAATTAAAGTAATGTTCGTTACTAAATCCTAAATGGGACATGATTAACACTTTTGCTACGTAAACGTCAAATTATTTATTTTAATACGATAGTTTTTGTTTCTTTGATTTGGTTGCTTCAAACCAATGCCAACTGATAATTTTAAATTTACTAATAACCAAGAAAATTTAATTTTTTTTCAATTTTCTACGAAAACCATACATTTTAGATATAGGTATGTAATGACAAAGTTCCCTTATTTTTCAGCGTACAATACGCTGGTGAAGAAAAAAATTGGGGTTGCCATTTAAAAAATGTAGGTTTCGACTTTTCGAGATAGGAAATTCGGCGCATATTTTTGACCACCTCTATAATTTTTTGAAAATATTTTAGCTGAATAAGCACCTTGGGTAAACCCTGTTTGCAAATTTTCACAAAAATAGTGCCAGTAGTTGACAGACCTGTACCTATACTATTAAGCTATGTCACATTTGATGTGGGTATTTTATGTGCAAGTTCACACAGTTTTATAACTATGATTACTGCATTCATATATTGCTAGTTATATGAAATTCCTGGTAGATATTTACACTTAAATATTGTATATTTATGATTTTTAGGACCCATTTTCAATGGAAAAGGTCATATTTAATTACAAAGCTTTAAAAGCCAGATTCCAAGCAATACACGCAAGAATTTCATCCCAAATGAACACAACATAAGTTGTAATAATGTATTATTCGATTACGTTTTCGTTTATATTTTGTGTTAAGTTTTTTTTTGAATGTATTTTTTGTATTATTAAGATTATATACTAATGAATACACACATCCATTATTTTATATTTCAAATATCTATGTAAATAATTATACAGAAATGTGAATAAACATTTAGTTCAACCTGAAATTAGATATTTAATACTTTGGTTCAAATAACCTAAACTTTATTAGTGTTGACATTTACGTCAACATCTGACAGAACCTCACTTTCGAAACGTTTTTTTCCATTACAAATCCCTTATTTCATCTCGTTTTAACACTATTTCAACGTTAAGGTAGAAAAGGACGAAGCAGGACGACGTGAAGATAACATTTCTGATGTCTTCTTGTGCTGATTCTGAATATTGTTAAAGTGAAAGGTGTCCGGAATTAATGTTATGCTTTCTTGTGGAAAAGCGACGTCTTTTTACGTTTACCCCCGTTCCCTATTATAAAAAAAGTAACGGTTTTTAATTTTTTAATAGACGTGTTTTTGGACCTGGAAAGGAATCTTTGGAATTTTGAGGTTAGTTGCAACATATTTTGAAACGGGTTTATGTAATAACAAGTAACACATTTATTTATTTATTAATTTATTAATCTTTTATAATATCGGTAATGTTGAAACAAATTTGCATGATATGGTTTCCTAAAATATTTAAAAACAATTTTGTTATCTTAAATCCTGTTGGAGTTATATGATCATGTCAACAAGTTATTGTTGAAATCGTTGGGTTTATTGCCTTTGTTTGACGTCATTTTATCCCATTTTTTAATTATTTTAAATAATAAAAACTTTTTTTAATAAGCTAATTAAAAAAGTTAATTTTTGTATTAACAGATGGCGCTGACAGTAAAATTTTCTTTTTGCAAATTATGTATACAGGGTTGATCAAAAGATGATTTTTTTGTACTTACAGATAGCGTCAAAAGTTAAAATTTATTTTTAATTAAAAAAAAATGTTGATAAATTAAGTTATTTATAGTATCAATTGACGTCAATTGATTTTAATTGATTACATATAATTTATAAAGAAGTGACTGGATTATTTTATAAAAATTGCGAAAAAAAAAATAACTCCAAGGTTTCCTTTCGCTTATTGTTCAACATTTTTTAACCACGTAACTTTCACAGAATCTAATTTATCACTCAAAAAAAATTCCCCCGACATTCTTTTCCTTTGTAAAAAAAAAAATAAAAACAAAAAACCGCAGCTTCCTTTGATGCGAATCGATTATGATTTATTTGTTATTTTTTTAAAGACAACAGAAAAAAACAAAATCCAATTTTAAACCCAATTTTATCAAACTTCGCTTATCAAAAAACCGCTTTCGACACTTATATTATACCTGTTAATATTTTTGGTTTTCGGTTCGAAACGCGTCGATAAAACTGTATGACAGCGTTGCTATGGTAGCATATAATATTTTGCGCACGGCACTAAAGTTTAAAACAGAGCGTGCCGTGTGCAAAAGTCGTGCTTTGGTGCCGTGCGCAAAAATACTTGAACACCTGGGTTTTGGTTCTTATCGCCGGATATTTTAAGGTTTAGTTTTGCTTGAATTTTTGTTGGAAATTGTTCGAATAGAATAGATTTCGATTGAACTGGGTCGTGTGCAATTGTCGAAAAAACATTTTTATCGATCGGTTCTATTAAAAAAATTGATTGTTATATCGACAACGAGCCCGAACGGTGACTCGACGAGTTTTAAAAATTATTGTTATGAATATAATAATTATTTAAATTATTTATTTGTTATCGATGCCATAGTTATGTTATGTTGTAGGCTAACAAGGAATTTTTTTGTGTAGTTATTTATCATTTATTGAAAGAATTTTGCCTAAAAAATGAACTCGTATTCGAATTTTTCATAATTTTTGTTTTCATACTTAAATTGCAAGGATGATTTAAACTGATATGAATACACAATGAATTCCGGGGCGCTAGAATCCCCTAAATTTGACGATTCGCTGCGGATATATCATGCCAGTTTTGGTTCAAGAGTTCTGCAGTTCCGAACAATTCTAAACCTTTCTGCGTATACATTTAATATGCAATATGTATGCGCAGAAAGATTCAGAACTGAACCAAAGCAGGCCTATCAAATCTAGCCCTTTGTCCGTAAGCGACCTCGGCGATGCCTTCTTATAAGACACTTTGTAACTATACCAAGATATATAAGGATGTTGATATCGTCTTCAGAAATCTGAGGTAGATGGTGCAAAAGATAATGTATCTTTCATCGAACAAGTACAAAATAATTTTTCTGTTTCGTCAACTTGACTAAAGGCTTTGATCGAGTTAAGAAATAGGACGTTATCAATATATTAGAAGATGAAAATGTACTAGCACAAATAATAGACATAGTAGACGACATATACATCAACAATACTACATTACGTCCGTTCTTGTTCAACCTACTAATGAACCGTGTAATAGAAACCATCAGATTCAAACTAGGATACAAGATAGAGACCCAAAATGTTGACATAGTGTGCTAAGCCGACGTAGTCGTTTTGTTTGCAAGTAACTAAGATGACCTGTAAATACAGTGTATAAATGATACATAGCAGCAACATAGCAGCAAAATATCAACAGAGAATACCATACATTTTGGTAACATCCAAAGAACCAAGACGTTGCAAACTACAAATTGAAGACTTTATAATAGAACAAATTATGCATGTTACTTATGTAGGTATAGAAATTACAAGCAATCGAGATCTATGTCAGGAAGCACAAGTTACAAGAGCGGCATACGTGACAGGCTGTTTAAGGGACACTATAAAGTCAGGCATTCCAAACTCGAGCAAACACGGGACCTCTATAGGAAAGCCCTAACGGAGTATAACTTGGCCATCCGTAAAGCTAAAAGAAAAACCTGGCGTAGCTTCTGTGAAGGCATAGACAATACGCCTACAGTTATTCGCCTGCATAAGATCTTGGCGAAAGACCACAACACTTCCTTTCCTCAAAACCCTGAAGTAATGAATATAACCTGTCCATCAGGTAGGGTTCGCAGTATAGCTGGGAACATCTGTACACCCAACAGAGTAAGGTGGGCTATTTCTAATTTAAGCCCCTAAAATCGCCTGGAGGGAGATTCTGCCTATTTTTCTGCAAAAAGGCATAGAAGACCTGCCCCCAGTAATATAATCCCTATATACCTACACTATGGAGGAAAGTAAAGGTATTCTTCGTACCTAAAGGTGGTAGGCGTTCAAACGCCGATCCCAACGCATGCAGATCACTTAGCCTAACTTTATTTCTCCTCAAAGGGATGGAAAAGGTAATTGATCAATACCTTAGGAATGGAGTGCTTGTCACTAATCCACGCCATTCGACACAACATGCTTACTAGAAAGCAAAATCAACAATTACTGCTCTCCATGCTTTGACTAGCACTTTAGAGGAGACAATTGCAACCAAAGAGATTGGCCCTATGTGGTTTCATAGACATAGAGGGTGCTTTCGATAACACCTCCTACGAATCCAAGAGAATGCTCTAAACGTAAAAGATATACATCCGTCGACAATCAAATAGTGTATAGCCATGTTGAAAAGTGGGCAGATCACAGCCAGTCTAGGAGGTGAATCGTTGAGTATTAAGGCGCTAAGAGGATGTCCCCAAGGGGGAGTGCTCTCACCTCTCCTCTGCTGCCTGGTAGTTGATGACTTGATGAACACCTTAACAAAAAATGGATTCATGATTCAGGGGTATGCTGATGACCTGGTAATCACAATCCAAGGTAAATATGACACAATCATAACTCAACTAATGCAGAAAGCGCTAGACCTAACAACAGCTGGCACAAATCCGACGGTTAGCATGTCTTAAAATAACGGGTACAATGAGATTTCGTGGAAGACTGCTCTTGAAGCCTTACTCAGTCTTACACCACTTCATTTATATATACAAAAGGAGGCAGCTTTAAGTGCCTTATCACTGAAAACAGGTTCTTCACTCAAGTTGATGCAGGGTAACCTCGAAATCCTCAAGGGCCCATGTCTAAATCACTTGATTGAAATTAAAACGGACTTTATACCAACAGAATACAATTTCGACCAGCCGTATAGGGTCATATTTAGAAGCAGGGATGATTGGACGAAGGATGGGCCTTAACTAAAAAGAGGAGCCCTAGCCTGGTACACCGATGCTTCAAAGATAGTTAGATCCGAAGTAGGCATGTGCATTAGTGAACCAAATAGTCGCATTAATACTGTAATTGCTCGCCAGAGGCTGTCTAAGACAGAAAATTTTCGGTAAAGCTCTTTTGACACATACCGACATAAAGGAACAAGACCTTGGAGCAATACTAAGGTTCATTAAGGACCTACATTTGCCCAAAATTTATAGAGGGCTAAAGTTACAATAGATCTTATAGGTCGCGGTGACGAGAGAGGCCGCTCCCCTCAGCTCGCCAGCAATAATAATAATAAGTGACACTATATGGCGCAACAGATACATGCGTATAGAAGAAAAAATGAAAATATATAAAGCCATGGTACGATCTATACTAACATATAGTACCGAGATGACAGCAGAAACAAAGCAGACTAAACAGAGGATGAGAGTGATGGAGATGAAAGTCTTGAGATCTATGTTGAATGTGACACTGCAAGATAGGCAGATCAACACCTCTAGAGAAAGATGTAACATACATGTTGGTAACAGTGAAAAATATTATGTTGGTAGAAAAGAAAAAAGAATTAGAAAACTTCCAGCACGTCTTGGTGATTATGTCCTGGTTATGGAGGAGATACCAAAAACATATCAAGATTTGATCGGGTCAAGTGAATCAGAACGATGGTTATGATGGATGAGAAGATGGATTCATTAGTAAAAAACAATACGTGGGAACTTAAAACAAGTGGAATTATTGAACGTTACAAGGCTCGACTTGTTGCCAAAGAGTATGAACAGCGTCATTGCAAGATTTGACACTATTGAATTGGTGTTATGTGTAGCTGCGACAACAAACATGAAACTGAGACAATTTGATGTCAAGACAGCGTTTTTAAATAGAAATCTAATGGAAGAAACTTACATGAGGCAACATGAAGGGTATGAAAACGGAACAGATGGAGTTTGCAAATTAAGAAAAAGCATTTATGGTCTAAAACAATCACCAAGATGTTGAAATGAACGTTTACTCTTATTAATGAAAAAGTTGAGTTATAGTCAAGCGAATACTGATCCATGCTTATATTACCGTGTCGAAGAGACAGAACGATTAATGGTAGCCATTTATGTTGATGATGCTTTGATAGCAGGTGCTAGTGACGGTGAAATAGAAAAATTTGTCAACACACTACAAAAGGAATTGGAAGCAACTGCAGATGTAGCTGAATGCTATCTAGGGGTGGAAATTGTGAGATTTAAAGATGGTCCCATTTTTATTCACCAGAGTGCTTATATTCAAAGAATACTAGAAAAATTCAATATGCTAGATGCTAATAGTGTGTCAACTCCATCTAAAAACAAGATGTATTAGAGAATGGAAATAAATTGGATCCGAAGTGCCCATATCGTGAAGCCGTGGACCCACTTATGTATTTGATCGTAGCAATAAGACCAGATATCACATATGCTGTGCTTGTATCTGAAAGGTTAGAGAAATCATTGCAAAGTATACCTGATTTGGGAATTCTTTATAAATCAAAAAGTAAGTCAGAAGTGTTAGAAATATACTGCCGACTTTGCAGGAGATGTGAAAACCCGTAAGTCAAGAACAGGTTGTGTCAGGAAATATTCCGAGAAAAATTCCAGAAAAATGTAACCTTATCAACTTCCGAAGCTGAATATGTGGCTACTGAGGCAACAAGAGAAATTTTATGGTTAATACAACTAGTGTCAGAAATTTCTTCTTTAAATGCCGTTTCTACATTATACGTCGACAATGCAAGTGCGATAAAATTGATGAAGAATCCGGAAGTTCACAAGAGTTCGAAGCACATTGATGTAAAATACTATTGTTTACGACAAAAATATCTAAATGGTGTTTTCAACGTAGGATACGTGAAAAGCGAGAGCAGTGTACAGATATTTGCACAAAGAACTTGACTAAAGTTTGTTTTGAGAAGTTAAGAAACAGTTTAGGATTAACAAAGAGAATTGAAGATTGAATTATCTTTGTGTGTAATCGATAAAAAGATTCTGTGTAACAGTTTTTCGTTAATTAAATACTAACTTACAGCATCCACCTTGTTTAGTTAACACCTCAACAACAATACAGGATGCAGCAAAATGAACAAAAGTAAGAAAGAAACGGTGAAAGGGGTATATGGAAAAAATGGATGGGAGGAAATTGGTCAGAGTATGCATGTATGGACGACCGACCAAGATATGGGCACAGAGCTGATTCTCCTCATCTGCGTAGTAAAGTCCAAACATGAAGCTTGGCAAGTAGGGATGCATCCCTAGTCGAAAGTAGAAGAAGAAGAACACAAGGAAGGGGGAACAAAGAATTCCGAAACTTAGGTTGGATTGGATTACAGAGCACGCTGCCAAGGTTGGATTTGGAGGCTGGAAGACAGAGGAAATTTTACAACCACATGGTTGTAGTACCATACTGCTGATGATGAGAGGTGGACCAGCTGACATCACAAATATAATAAATAAACACTATCAACACGATAAAGGCCCATTTATGTTCAACTTATTAATGGACAAAATAATTGGTCATAGGAAATCTGCGTAACATGATACACTGTGATAATCGCTAATTCAAAATGGTGATGATAAACTGGTAGTTAACAAGACAAGTCTCAAGCACTCACGATTCCGTAAAGGATATGAGAAGTCAAATCAAAAAAGCGTCTACAATTTCAGGGTGCCGACGAGATAATGGTGACTTAGGCATTGACCATATTAAGAATAGCAGAAATGAAGACCCTGAGGACAATTTCAAGAAAGACCAGAACTCCGACATCACATACCAATGCAAGGTTCAGAACATTGTGATATTTGTGACATTACGATATGAACCATATTTTATGCAATCATTGATACTCATTGAAAAAAAACCTTCGAAATCAACATACACAATGTAGATTTATGCAGTTTTAAAAAAATTATAAACTAAAAATATTTATCTTGTAAATAGAGATAACAAAAAAAAATAGAACAATTCTTATCAAACCACGATATTTACTTTTAATTCTACACCTTACACGCTACAAGATAGTTTTATCATAAATATGTTTTTTAAATTGGAAGCAATACATAATGTTCTAAGAAATTAAGTTTGCATTCCAAAACAATTTCTTGTTGTTGTAAGCAGAAAAAAAGGTTTGTTTCAAAAATATCTTTGTTTTAACATAATTCATTTTTTTATTTTAACAAAATTAAATCAATCTAATTTTTGGTGATGCCGTTTTTATCATAAAATGTCTCTCATTTTCCCTTTCTATCCTCGAGCCCCATCGAACGGACTTTGAGTCACCGTCGCGTGTCGATAAAGACCCGCGAATTCTTATAAACCGAATTAGAACGTTTCCGACCACTTCATCGGTCACTTTAACAATTCCCTTATTTTATTTGTTCGTATTTAATTGACTCATTTTAACTTTGTGAGTTAAACTAATTAAATAAATAAAAATTGTTAAAGATTTCCAATTTGGTATTAATTATGGCTCACGATCATCATGCCCATCATCACATGGAACCATCAATTCCTTCGGCAATTCCTATGGAACATGACGATCATTCGGGTCATCCAGATGGTTCAATGGGACATGGAATGAGTATGGCTGTAAGGTTCTTTTTTCTTTAATTTTTTTCAAAATTAAATTAAAATTTATTTTTTAGTTCCATTTTGGAATATCGGAAACCGTTTTATTCGAAAGTTGGGCTTTTTCGACGACTTGGGGATTGATTGGATCCATGATTGGAATTTTTTTTATGGCTGCTTTATATGAGGGATTAAAATATTACAGGTAAAAAATTTGTAGGATTTAAAATAAATGTATTATAATTAATTTGTATAGGGAATATTTATTCTGGAGGACTTACAACGCTTTGCAGTATAGAGCTGTTACTCTTCAACAAGATAAAGCAGTCGTTTCTGAAGATAATCAAATAGTTCAGTAAGTTTTTTTTTTTAATTAATTTTTTTTAAATTGGTGGAAGGTTTTTAAATTTAAATTCTTTTATTTCACGCAGTATGGTTGGAGAAGTAATCCACAAACAACCGTAAGTTTGTTGTGTGCTTGTTAGTTTAGAACTTAAAAAAGGTTTTCTTCTATCTAAACTAACACTTATTTCTTATTTACTCTATTTAACTCATTTTCTATTAATTTATTAACTTAATAATTAATTAATTAATTTTTGTTGTAGGCCAAGTATGTTAAGTTTGATGCACGTTTGTCAAACGGGTCTTCACATAATCCAAATAGTACTTTCCTACTTTTTAATGTTAATCTTCATGACGTACAATGTATGGCTGTGCATAGCGGTGGTTGTAGGGGCGGCAGTTGGTTATTTTTTGTTCGGATGGAAGAAATCCGTAATAGTGGACGTAACGGAACATTGTCACTAAAACATTTCCAGCATGGTTATTTTCCTTTTTTTTAAATATTTTATCTTAGATTTTAAGCAAAACTTCTTTTATTATTCATAAGAAAAAAAAATATATTTACAAACATTGATTTGTTAATCAGAAGGAACAACAATATAGACAAAAATAAAAAAGCCCCCTCATGACCACATAAGGAATATTAAAGTATAATTTTTATTTTTTAACAATGTAAATTTTTGTTTTTAAATTTTTTTTGAGAAATGTTATTTTTTGAAACGTTTCAGCTATAACGTTTCTTAAATTAACATGACAGTTTTTTTTTGATGAGCAGTTACGACATGAGATTATTAGGTGATTAAGTAATGAAAAATTGAGTCATAAAAGACTTTAATGTAAGATAATTAAAATTATGTAATATACGAATATTTTTTTTGTTATTTAATTAAAAATATAATATTGTTTTTGAGCAAAAATCGATTATTATTTATGTCTTAAGAATTCTTGTTCCCAGCTTCCAGCAATTTAATCCAATTTCTGTTGGCGCCGCCGAAGAAGCAGCGTTATCTTTTAGATTTTGTAACTTTGGTCTAACAACAATAGAAACTTGAACAAAATGCAGAAGTGACCAGAACAGACGAGACTACAAGCTCCTGATGTTTAAAATTAATTTTTTTTGTCGGCGGACCCCACAGCAAACTTCAAAGTGTAGGAAGAAATCACGCATTAGCTTTATTCACCACTGCTGAAATTGAAGAGCGGAAAAATGGGAAAGGTACGTACAGAAATATATGCAAAGGTTAGATCTTTCAAATAAAAAACCTTATTTAAATCGAGCAATACGTTCAAAAATTATTGCAGTCTGAAAGTGGTCATTTTAGGTGATTTTTTATGCTTCTCTTTATGTTTTTAGCCAACTAAACGTGTGCACTCTTGGGAAATTTCAAAAACATGAGACAACTTAATATCATAGCATCAATGAGTTGATAGAATTTGAAAATCCCTAACTTATAGGTCGAATTAAAACTTGGTCTTGCATTTGGAAACAAAACCATCATTAGTTATCATTATATCTTCGCATGACATGTTGCAACCATCTTCAAAAACATGTTCAAAAATGTTCATTCTTTTACCTGGGCGTAAACAAATCTAACCTTACTCAACATACTGTATAATTGATACTTCAAAAGAAAGCTGACCTTACGTAAGATTTCTTCACGGTATAATTAATACTTTAAAAGAAAACTAACCTTACATAACATTCCTTCACGGTACAATTGACATTTCAAAAGAAAACTGACCTCACTCAACATTCTTACCCGGGTAGTAGGGCCGGATCACACCTTTTGTGGGCCCGCTCTATATTTTTGGGCCCCAAAAAAGTCTAATATTACCATTTTAGTATTATGATTAATATTAATAATAATGTTTTTTGCCTCAAAAACAAGTATTTACATAAATATATACATTCATAACAAATATAGACATCAAGGCAACCGGATCAATTTATCGCAATAAGCGATATCTTCCAAGAGACCCAACTGGTAACAGTTGTATACGTAATTTTAAATAAATAATTATGGCTACCAAAAAATTAATACTAAATGATGTGCTAATAGGACAAGGAAGGAAATAGACACAAAAAAAGTGCAGTAAAACATAGATGAAAGGCAGACTAGAGAAGAAAACAAACACGTATAGGTCATGAAGAAGATAGTTGAAGAGATAGCAGATGGCGCCTTAAGGCATTTTTAAAATCAGATCGAAATTGATATTGTGATCCATGTTAACCAGTAATCAGAATGTCATTTAAAGGATTATAAATAATTATTTTGCACTTTAACTGGTTAATTAAATATATTGATTTGAATATTAAGTTCTAATTTGACATGTTTCGCTTAAACAATGTAAGCATCTTCAGAACTACAAAATGAAAAAAACAAAAATTAAACAGACTGATTCAAAAATTAACATTGCAAATTCAGAACATTTTCAAACCAGAAATTTCATTTAAAAAGAAAAAAGGTTACTTACAAATGAACTTTGTTAAAGTTGAAAAGTCATTCGAATAAATTCTAATTCACAATTCGTCGAACGAATAAAATAATGAGAACAATCACAAATTCATTATGTACTGGAGGAAATTGAGTGTATAAATGTGTCGCTTTACCAAGTTACAAAATCAAAAACAAGTTTTTTTAAATCAACAGATGTTGAAATTACAAAATCAAAATGCGCATGTAGATTGGAATAAAAATTAAATGGTCAAAGAATCTTAAATTTAAATTTACAAAATGAATAAATAATAATCAAAATCTAAAGAAAAAACAATAGACACGACAAACTTAGTTGTTAGGTTAAAAATATAGAAAATAGAAAAATATAAGGAAGGTGGGGTAGGAAAGGAAATTAGCCACTGGGAAGACATTAATTTCCATATTAATTTCCTACATGAACCATTGAGAAATGTCGTCATACCCAAGGGATTCAGAATTAAACTCCCAAAGAATTTCAACGTTCAAAAAAATATTCTGGAAAGGAAACTCATCACTCGAAGACTTAAACAACATTACAAAACCCGTACCTTAACAGACACAAAACTTAAATTCTTACACAGATTACTTGTAGGTAAAATTCATTTTATAGAATTAGAAGCTATTATTGACAAATTTAATGAGTATATCTTTTATAAGTTATATGACGGTAATTTTAAACGTAGACGTAAGCTTTTATCACTTATTAAAGAAAAAAATCAGAATAAGTCAATTAATAATAAAAAATCAAATAATATAGAATTGCAATCAAAAATAGTTTTTCATGTAAATAGACTTAAAGTGATCAAAAACAATGTATTGTTCATTCATCTGATTTAGACAGCATCTCATTTGCTCCCAAATTCACAAACCTAACAAATGTTACTTTAAACGAGAAAGAAATTGAAATACTACAACTTGGACACAAATATACATTTTTTGACGAAAAATACAGAGTTGAAGATTTAGCTATGATTTAGAAAACCAATTATATAGACATAAAGATTTTTTCAATATGAAGAAAGATTTATCAACAACTCTCAAAATTATGGAAAGAGATATAAACTGCTCAGTTAATAAAAAACACAAAAACCAAATGACAACCATTAAAAACTTCAAAAAAAGAATGTTAACAAATAATGTCACTATTACAGTTGGAGATAAAAACACAGGAATAGTATTAATTGATAAGAAGGATTACATTATTAAAACCGAACAATTTTTTAAGGAAAATGATATAAACGTTACAAATAAGAATCCAATTGAAAGTTTTAAGAGAAAAACAAAACAAATAATTAAAGACTGTAAAGAAACCCTTTGTAAGTTTAACATAAATGTAAACCAAGGACTGTAGAATCTAACAGGACTGCTACATCCATTGTATTTTTGTAGTCCACTAGGGATTGGTTGCCCGCAGTCAACGTCACACTATTTGCCACGCCTGGTAACTATCTGCGTTTTTAGAGGTTATATGATAGACATTAATACGTCTAAAAACATAAAATTTCAAAAATAATATGAATACGTCTAGGATATAACCTCTAAAAATACACAGCAAACGCATAGACCATAACAACAGCTGGGCGTGGAAAATGGTGTGACGTAGTTTGCGGGCAGGTTGTCACAACAATGGATGTAGCAGTCCTGTTAGATTCTACTGTCCTTGAATGTAAACAAAATAAATAATATGAATCCGCAATCGCCACTAATGTACAGTCTAATCAAACTACATAAACCGGACAGATCAATTAGACCCATAATTAGTAATATTAACACACCAACACAAAACATCGGAAAAGCTATTCACAACATAATTCAAAATAGTTTTAAATTCGAATCAAAATATTCAATAAAGAACTCCCAACAATTAATAAATGACATTAAAGATATCGAAATTAATAATAAAACCCAATTAATATCGTTTGACATAAAAAATCTGTACTCGAATGTACCAATTACAGAAACACTCAGTATAACTAAGCATCTCCTCCTAAATAAATATTCAGAGCTAGAATTTCTTACAGAACATGACATCAAAAACATACAATTAATGTTGGAACAGATAACAAAACAAAACTTTTTTACTTTTAACAATAAAACTTATAAAATGAACAATGATCTGCCCATGGGGTCTTCATTATCAGGGTTACTGGCCGACATATATGTAGATTCAATAGAAAAACAATTATTCTCAGAAAAATATAACATGTTCACTAAAAAACATCAAATACTATGGACGATACGTTGATGACATCTTAATAATACATGAAGGCCCAAAGTCAAACATTATAGCTATTTACAACATTTTAAACAACATTAGTGAATTAAAGTTTACAATTGAGAAAGAAACTAATAATGCTATTCATTTTCTAGACTTAGTTTTACTAAAAAACATCAACCTTAAGAAAATAGATTTTAATGTATACCACAAACCAACCACAACCGATGGTTCCGATCATCATTCCGAGAAATTCTTACAACAACAAGAATCATAAAGAGGCAGTTTTCAGATATATGATAGATAGAGCCATCAATACACCTATGAATGACCAAAATTTCAACACAGAAATAAATTACATAATAAAGCTGGGTTTCAATAATGGTTATAAGGTTGCTTTTATACAAGATGTTTACAACAAGATTCAGAAACGTAATATAATGAAATATATATATCCCGCATATAAGAAGACGTATACAATCGAACAACAAATTATCACAATTCGTTCAACAAAATTGGAAAAATACTACAAAGATATGATATAAAATTAGCATACAGAAGTAACTTAAAACTATACAATCTAATTATCAACTCCAAACAAAAGATCGAAGAAAAACAAAAGAGCGGCTTATACATAGTAAATTGTAGCGGTTGTGAAAAAGTATACATAGGCCAGACGGGACGTAACCTCAACATTAGAATCAAAGAACACATATCAAAAGAAACCTCTTCTCTATTTAAACACGCGTCTGAGACAGGTCATAAGTTCAACACAGATTCTATAAGACTTATTAAAGAGCTTCCAAAATCTAAAAAATTAGATCTATATGAAGAAATGGAAATATCTAAATATAATAATAATAACAAAGAATTATTAATGAACGAAGCTACGAATATAAATCCTTACCGTTTGTTTATGCCTTTTATAAGTGTAAATTCACCACCTAAACCTGTTTCCGAAAATCTTCCATCTTAGAATAATCCAAAAATTTGCACATACCAGTTCCTTTTCGATAGTTGTAGATATAAGATATTTTTATGTTCTTGTTCGAGTTTTTAATTTTTAACATAAATTTTTAACGTGTGAGAAATTCAAAAGTGGAAAATCTTAACATAATTAAATTATTATACCGAATTATTATACCACGCAGCCGCTATTAATTGACGGTAAATAATTTTCTCATGTTTATGTTTTTGATAATTAAAAAAAATTTTTACTCATGTTTTGTAGCAACAACCTGATGACGGAAATTTTTTCCGAAACCGGTAGTTGAGAACAAATAAATTTTCATTCTTCGGAATTTTAATTTTTTTTTTATAATTAGCCGCTGGGACTCCAAGATCTGCGAAACATTTGTGAGGCTAAACAGATGAGTCCTCGGTATCTTGGGGAAATGGGTTAGATAAGGATTTGTATATTGGGATCTTTGAGTAAAATATCTGGTCATTGAGACATTCCACATCGTTTACATTATTCCTAAACCTGTCTATCTCATAATTTTCTAGTAAATTTAATTTATGGCCTTTATTTTGAGAGTGTAGCAATTTGACATTTTTGTCAATATAAAAATCATGATTATGAGTTAAAAGATGTGTACCAAAATTTGACTCTTCTCTTCGGATGTGTTCTTTTATTCTATTTTTTAATGGGCGACCGGTTTCACCTATGTAGTAGGCTCCGCAAGTATCACAGGTCAATTTATAAACCCCATTTTTGTCTAATATATTTATTTTATCTTTAGCGTTAATAAGAATTCTTTGCAACGTATTGTTATTTTTGTAGGATAATTTAATACCATGATTCTTACAAACATGTTTAATGATGTGTAATTGGTTGAAGAGCTATGGAATTTTTAATATTTTGTCTATTTATGAATTTATTGTATATAGAATAAAAATGTTCGGGTGTGAAGCCGTTATTTATGCCAATTAATTTTATTATGTTTAATTCTTTATTTTTGTTTTCTGCTGACATAGGAGTATTAAACCAGCTGTATAAATAGGCTCTAACAGCTGCAGTCTTATGAGTTAGGCAATAGAATGAATTAGCTGGGATGATGCTATCAGTTTGTGTTGGTTTTCTGTATTAGATTTCAAAATCTATTGAATTACTGTTATTTATCAATGTTAAGTCTAAGAAATTAAGTTTGTTATTTTGTTCTATTTCTATTGTAATGTTGCTGTGTAAGTTATTAATGTATGAGTGGAAATCCTCAACCAAATTTAGACCATCATCATTCCATATTATTAAAGTGTCATCCACATATCTACGCCAAAGAATGATGTTATCATTAGTGTTATTTTTGATGTCAAGTAAATTATGTTCAAGGTGGTTAAGAAATATGCCTCCTAAAAGGCTACTTAGAGGAAAACCCATTGGTAGTCCTTCATTATATTTGTAGAATTTATTGTTGAACTGGCAAAAATTTTGTTCTGTGCAGATTTTTAAAAGGTTATGGACATGTAAAGCATTTTCAACACCTTATCAATCAATAAATCTTTGGTTATATCTAATGTGTCTTTAATGGATATGTTGCTGTATAAGTTGGTAATATCAAAAGAGATCAAAGTGAAATTTCGTGGATATTTTAAATTTTGTAAGGTGTCGATCGAATCGTAACGATTGTTAATTGTGTAGTCTGCTTTAAATTGCATAGTGTTTCTGAAAAATTGTATCATGAATTTAGCGATGTTATATATGCTGGAATTAACAGATGATATAGTAGGCCTGATAGGTAATTCCAAAGATGAAATATATAGATCTATCCCTTATCCTGGAAAAGTAGCACACATCATTAAACATGTTTGTAAGAATCACGGTATTAAATTATCCTACAAAAATAACAATACGTTGCAAAGAATTCTTATTAACGCTAAAGATAAAATAAATATATTAGATAAGAATGGGGTTTATAAATTGACCTGTGATACTTGCGGAGCCTACTACATAGGTGAAACCGGTCGCCCATTAAAAAATAGAATAAAAGAACACATCCGAAGAGTTGACTCTTCTCTTCGGATGTGGGGATCTCAGTGGCTAATTTCCGTCCCCCCTACTTCTTTATATTTTTCTATTTTCTATATTTTTAATCTAACAACTAAGTTTGTCGTGTCTATAGTTTTTTCTTTGGATTTTGATTATTATTTAATCATTTTGTAAATTTAAGATTCTTTGACCATTTAATTTTTATTCCAATGTACATGCGCATTTTGATTTTGTAATTTTAACATCTGTTGATTTAAAAAAACTTGTTTTTGATTTTGTAACTTGGTAAAGCGACACATTTATACACTCAATTTCCTCCAGTACATAATGAATTTGTGATTGTTCTCATTATTTTAGTCGTTCGACGAATTGTGAATTAGAATTTATTCGAATGACTTTTCAACTTTAACAAAGTTCATTTGTAAGTAACGTTTTTTCTTTTTAAATGAAATTTCTGGTTTGAAAATGTTCTGAATTTGCAATGTTAATTTTCGAATCAGTCTGTTTAGTTTTTGTTTTTTCATTTTGTAGTTCTGAAGATGCTTACATAGTTTAAGCGAAACATGTCAAATTAGAACTTAATATTCAAATCAATATATTTAATTAACCAGTTAAAGTGCAAAATAATTATTTATAATCCTTTAAATGGCATTTTTAAAACTTATTAAACTAGCTGCATTGCGAACAACAGCAGGCAAATCGTTCCACAACGCAATCGACTGCACTGTAAAAGATCTGTGGTAGATTTCAGTACTATGGACTGGAAACATGAGTGTAGAGTTCGACATTGATCGAGTGGGCAAGTCATGTGATGCTAAAAAGTGAAAGGCATCGAACAAATAAGCAGGAGTGCGTGTATGGACAATTTTGTACAACATAGTAAGCATGTGAAATGATCTACGACTCTGGCAAGTCATCATCTGCAGGTTGTTATGATATGAAGTAATGTGCTGAAACTTTCCTAAATCAAAAATGTACCGTATCCGTATACAATTGTTCTGAAGTCTTTCCAATTTACGTACAACAGGAGGAAGGTAGCAGCGAAGTTTTTTCAAAGTATGGAAACAAGTAAACCCTCTTACAGATTCCCTGAACTTGTGGCCGCCAAGACATCGCCGAATCCATTACCACACCAAGATTTTTGATCGTATTAGAAAACAGAATAACGGTGTCGCCAAGCCTCAGTTGAAGGGTAGTTAAGGAATTAAATTGTGCCAGCAAGGGGCGAGTGCCAAATGCAATGGCTTGTGTTTTATTGGATTCAGGTTAAGTCCATGACGTCTAGACCAATCAAGAGAGATCGTTGTTAAGATGCAACAAAGCATCTGGGAGGTTGTTAACAGTTGACGAAATATAAAGTTGAAGGTCAGCTGCATACAAATGATAGTTACACGAGATACCATCGCTAATACTATTTATGAAAATTGAGAAGAGCAAAGGACCCAGCACACTGCCCTGGGGAACTCCACATTTGATGTCAACAGGAGAAGAGAGTACAGATTCCACGCGGACACGTAAAGACCAATAAGAAAGGTAGGACTGGAACCAAGATACACAAGAAGAGGTAAAACCAATAGCAGAAAGTCTAATCAAAAAATGGAGGGCTAACTTCCCGCACTCAAAATAATTATTGTTTAGATATTTTTTAAAATATTTAGATGTAATACTTAAAGTAATTAAATATTTTATATGTAAAACAATTTCGTGTTCAATCACATAAATTCAATTAATCTTTTATTCTGAGTATGCAATTTCTACTATAAGTTGGATTTCCAATTTTATTCAATTCATTCATAAATGATGTTTTTCTCGTTTGCCGTTAGAGGCTGCACGAGCTAGAGCAACCCAACTCGATCGGTGGGATAACTATGTATATCTATAAACAAGGATATGACTTTTCCATCATTCCTGTGTTTCTAAAATTGTATCAAAAACCATAAAAAGACGTTAATTGAACCTAGGAACTCACTTCAGAAGAATGGTTTCAATTGATGTACGCGTTTTTGAGTTATAAAGAAATAAAAGAATTTTTTTTGCTAACTTTGAAGTCCTCTAGCGGCGAAACGAAGCAACTTTGGATATAGATAACTTAAATCGACTTATTTTGAGCCAAGGAATCTGTGGTCTTCCGTTGTACACGCATTTCGGAGACACCTGTATATTGATCGTGTGAAGGGTGCTTTATTAAACAATTAAGTTCATAAATAATTCATTCTTATAAACTTAGCAACAATCACATGATCAGAATTGTAATTCAAAAGGAGAGCTTAAGAAATGTATACAAATGAAACACAAAAAAAAATTAATTTAACTTTTTTATTTTACAAAATCATTTCTACGATCTTGGTCGTTCTTTCTTCTCTTTATACAAAGCTAATAGGGAGACGTTAGCTACTTTAACAACCTGTAACAAAAACAAAAAATCAACTTAAGAAACATACATGTATATTAAAAAAATTCAAAAATAAAGAAATTAATCATAAAATGTTACTAATCACAACATTAAAATGTCATTGGATTGGCTCTAAATTTTTAAAATCATTTTATTCCACCTCTAATTTAACTAAAACATCAAATTAAAACTCACCTTAAACCTAACACCAGGAATATCACCAACGGCGTGACCTTTCCTACCAAAACCTGCAACTAAAACTTCATCATTTTCTTCAATGTGATTCAAACAACCATCACGGGGTACAAAAGCTGTGATTTTCTTTCCATTTTTGATTAATTGTACCCTCACGCATTTACGAATAGCCGAATTGGGTTGTTTAGCTTCAACACCACTAAAAAAATGTGAATTAAAATAACGCACAAAAAAGAAAATTCACAAGAAATGTTGATATAACTTATTTGAAGAAAATAGAATAAAAATTTCGCACAGAATTCTCCTGTGATTGGCAAATTTAAAATAAAAACCATTCACAAAGAAATCCTGCGCAAAATTATTAATTAAACAATTTTTTTTTAATGTAGGGCACATATCAGAGCGTAAGGTTCAATAAAGACAACCTCCCAATGGTTCAGAGCCCCTTTTCTCTAGCACCAATTCAAAAAATACCATCCAGAAATTAATAAATCTGATATAGTAGTCTCATGATGCAATTTTTGTCTCAATTTTTTTTAACTTACACTTTCTCGAGGACGATTCCTTTGGCATGGGAAGCTCCACCGAAAGGATTGGCCTTCCAACGGGTCCCCAAATGAGCCTTTTTGTAGTCTTTATCAGCCCAACGTTGCTCCCTACGATGATTCACGTGTTTTCTCGCCGTACGTAATCCACGGGGCTTACCTACAGAGATGAAGTTCAACCAACAAATCAATACTCACTTCGAAATCTTTTTTTAATAAATTTCAAAAAAATAATACCACCTCGTGGTAAATTAACATTATTAAATTAATATTTGTTAATAAAAATGGTTAAAAAAAATCTTCGTTAAGGGCGGATGGTTCGGATAAAAAATAGTTTGGTTATGTACGCTTTGACATGCCTAAAAATTTTAATTTCGTTTGGGTTAAAACTAGATTTATACAGTTTTGGGATAATTTATTAAGAGGAAAGGGGTTGTTTAGTGACGTTTTTGAGAGAAATTTTAATTAATTTTGTGAAAAAAAGGCTAAAATTCGATGGAAAAACACTCACCCATGTTGACTGTGAAAGAATCACTTGTAAAAAGAAATAACAATACGACTTGAAGTAAGCGGTGGAAGTTATTGGCTTTTAAACCGTACCAACCTAAATAAATTAAGAACACTATTTTTAATAAAATTTTGGTTATTTGTGTATTTTTTTATTGATTTTTTAGAATGAAACGAAATAAATAAATTAATAATAATAATAAATAAAACGATTTGAATTTCTAATACACGCTTTTACATATTTACACGTGGTTTTAATAGAAACGATCGGCGGGCAAAAGATGGCGCTAGTTAGAAGTTATTAAATTTAAAATTTATTATTTACTTTTATTGTAAAAAAAATTTATTGTTTATTTAATTAAACATTTAACCTTCAACTAACACTAGATTTATAACTAGAAAGTTGTAAATTTAAAAATAATTGTATTATTTTAAAATGAAGTAAGTAACGAAATGAAATTAGGCTAATGTCAAAAAAATAAAAATAAAATCAACATAACCTCGAACGGGTCCAAGAAGAAAATTGATCTGCGGCCTCTTAGCACAAAAATACCAGCTACCAATAAACTTGGTATCAATCTTGGCCAAGCAGTCTTTTGAAATCTATGTAATGCTATACCAATTTATAAAGGATACAGGAATTCAGCTGTGATACAAAATTGTGATGTATGAATATTAAGATATTGACTAGTAAATAAATGAAGCTGTGATGAATCCCACTTAGAACTACCACTAAATCCTAAAAGATACCACCAAGATTCCTTGTTCTAACCTAGTACCAAGGGCTCTCCTAGATTTTGTTTGTTTTTCCTGTTTAAGCAGAGTCACTGGGCCCCTGGCTCGCAAAAGAAACCTAATATATGTTAATCCATTATTGTCTGTAATTTTCTCTTAAATAATAATACCACGGGGCAGAGAAGAGAGGGAAAAGAAAAGCCAAACTACATGAAATCCAACCATTGCAAAGGAAAAAAACAAATAAAGAAGAAAAATAACGAATGGTAAATAAAAAACAAAGATGACTAAGCAAAGGAAATGAATGAATAAAAGCAAAAATATCTAGTTGTGACACTAAAAATTAAAATGAAATGGACCACCTGTATATGAGTGTAAGGGTTGAACCCACGATAGAGAGAGAAAGACCTAGTGACTGGAGTATGAGATGAATGGATGTTTGAACTCCAATGTACACCTGTTTGACAACTAACCATAACCTAAAACACAACCAACCATTATACAGAATGTATCTGAATGACTGCAGCAAACTTCAAGGTGATTCTTTAGTGAATTTTAAGGGTACTTTGATATATGAACCATGGGCGACTTCGGCTTCCCAAAAAAGGCGAAAAATGTTGGTTTAATTTTTTTTTTCAAAAACCATAAACGCTAGGAAAATGAAATTTGGGGAATATGTTTAACTCATAATAGGGCACATTTGACCCTATTTGTACTCTCAACCTACCCTTCTAAACTACTAAACATAACCCCCCTTTGTTTTTCAAATTAATTTTTGAATAAAATTTTATCGCATTGTTATGAACCTCTTCTCATAATAGTTATTTATGTACCAAGTCGGCAAAGTGATGCTTTATCGAACGAGTCTGAGTTTGCGAGTCGAGCGAGCGAAGCGAGGGAGGCGAGTAACAGGCGAGTACACCCTCGCGCTCCCTCCGCAAGACCAGTTATAACGCTCATTCACTCGACGTTTCAAAATAATGATAGTAGGGAAACCACTAACATTTAAACGTCAAAAATATTTCTGACAAAATTTGCAAAGCCTACTAAGATTTTTTCATTAAAAATTCTTTCCAACTTTTAATCAACAACAAAACAGCTTAACAGTTAGTATTTGCTTAATTATTTTTTTTTGTCGGAAATTATTAAGTTTTAGAAGAACATCAGACAGACAAAAAAGTTTTAGAATAGTTTTATCTATCTAAGGGTGCGTTTACGTTGGAGCTGCGATAAACGATACTAGCAAAATAACGAAATTGTTGTCATAGTTTTATATGCAAGTGTTTATATTGGAGCGACGAATTGTTACAAGCTTGACAGCCGACTAACGATAAGAGCGACGCTAATTATATTCCCTATTTTCTTTGCTATTATCAAGTGTGGTCGGCATGGATATCGACTGTTTAATTAGTGAAATTTTTGTTAGATCCCCCTTATGGGACCAAAAAGATAAAAATTACCACAACAGATTTGTTCTGACAAATCGTTTTCAATTCATTTTGCGCCGCTCTTATCGCTGCTCTCATTGTTGTTCTTATCGTTTATCGCATATAAAACTATGACAATAATTTCGTTGTTTTGGTAGTATCGTCGCTATTATCGTTTATCGCAGCTCCAACGTAAACACACCCTAACTGAAATTTTTCCAATGTATTTATCATTTTCATAAAAGAAATCTACTATTCGTGCAAAAAGTCAAGGCCCCTCACTTTAGACATCGATATCTTCGCAACCGCTCCATAAAAAAAATTGCAACAAAGTTTGTTGTAATCACTGAACATATCTACGTAACTTATGTTAATCTGAAAATTTTCGGGTTCACGGCTTTCTTGTTACCGCGAGTTAAATGAAAAATGTACCCGATTTTTTACGGAATTGGCAACTTTATCAACTTTGCGATTTTTTTTCTCGAAAACTATCGTACGAAAAAATTTTAATTTTGAACAGGTGGTAGTCTGATGTGTTCTCAATGAGTGGCATGTTTTATTTTTTCGATATTTCATACAGTTTCGCGGAAAATCGCGGTTTAGTTAGACGCCGTTATGTCGAAAACGATTGGGTGGATTTCTTCGCGGATTTGACCAAAATATGTCAAATAATGTTGGTTGTCGGATTTCGTTATCAGTTTTTCAAAATTAAGGCTCTCTATTTTTTTAAGAGCGATATAATGGAATTACAAATTAAAAAGAAACAGAAATAAGCTCTGCGGGGTGACGAGGGTTCCGGCCAATCGGAACAGATGGTGCGTCCCAGACAGGACGTCGCGCCTTATTTCTTTATGTAGGCAAGATAAAGGCGCGACGTACTGTCAAAATCAGTCAATTGGGAAAAATGTTGATGTTGGCATTGTTCCCAAGTTTAGAACGAAATTGTGAACAATAATTTGCAAAATTGACTCACTGATTTTATTATTTCTTCAAATTTATTCGTTCAAAATCAGTCAATTGGTGATGTTGACGTACTCTTGGTATTGTTCCCAAATTCAGAACGAAATTGTGAACAATAATTTGCAAAATTGAGTGCAAAGGAAAAAACAAAAAAAAAAGAACCAAACTACTAGCTAGATTTTATTCATTTTGAATCGTTTGTTTGTTCTAATGAGAGATAACTCTAGATCGTTGATAAAAATTTCAATAAAGTCGTTTAACAAATTCTAGGTGTTGAAATTTTTATGCAAGTCAGTATATTAGTGTTATTTCAAATGCATAATTTTCTTAGTTATTAATAAAGTTCTATTCGAATACAGTTTTTGCTGTCAACCGTGATTAAAATGTCATTTACCTTTACCGTTATATCTACTTCTGCTTTTTTATTCTTCTAAGTAAAATAAATCATCAAAAATATTAGAAATTTCTACTACCATTGTTGAGTAATTCGTGATTTTCTAATATTTCGGAGGGTGTTTGAATACGGATTTTGCATATTGTAAATAAAACCCAATAAATTTTATAGATATAATTTAATTAGGTACCCAGAAGTACATTTTTTATATCACACATACAGACATACTGTAGATTAAAAGCATATAGTTTATATAGAAACTCAACATCGTCATGCTGCCGATTTTTTTTATAAAACACGATTATTATGGGGATTTATACATAAAGAGGTTAAAAATCGATACAAATTATAAAAAAGGAAGATGATGTGTATTGAATAGGAAGAGGAAATATAAAGTTACAAAAAAATCAGACTACGACGTGTTAATTAAATAATAAAATTTCATGGCACAACTTAGTAGCGACAAGTCTTTTTTTGTACTTTACTAAGTTTAAAAAACTATTATACATAACTATTAATTATACTTATACACAGTTCTATATACATATACAGAGTAATACCATTCATAAAATAAAATTAAAATAAAATTGAACCGAAAAGGGGTTATTTTTTGACAGTTTTTAGAAGGATTTAATATAAAATACTGTAAGGGGAATACACGCTCAAAAAATATCATTTCGATATACATATATTTTGTTTAATTTTTAATAATTTACTCATCTCCCGTTCATTAGAAAAAAGAGCTGTCTTTTTCCTTTAAAAATAATCACAGTAAAGATTCCAAGTTCTCAATACCAAAGAGTCACTCTCACGCGGTACACTTACATATTTATAATTCCATTCGTTTTGTTTCAATTAATTTTTATTAATTAGAAATTATATTTTTTGTTATGATTTGGTCAAAATCTTTTCATAAAATTGTATAGCAAGAAAAGTTATTTCATTAAAATTAATATGATAAAAAAATTAATCTAAATAGTATGAAATAAAAATAATTCTGTGATGATTGATCATTATATCACTCAAGTTATTTTTTTTTACTGATATGCATGCAGGTTAGATTACTTCTTAATCTTTTAATTTTATTCGTAGACGTGTATAAAAGAACTGGATTAAATTGTGTTTTATTTTCCATTATTATTATTCATTTACTTTTTTTTAATATTAATATAGTGAGGAGATTACTTGTTTTACTACAACACGGTTTCAGCTTACATTTTTTTTCTGACACGATCATTTTACGCGCTAAAGAAATGATTTTGCATTCATATCTACTTGATATTTTTAATTTTTTACTTTACATACACATTAATCTGCATGTTAACCCTTTAACGTTTTTATAAGTACTGTTCGAGAATTCTAATTCTTAGCTTGTTATAATAAACTTCGAAATGAAACTGAAATTTAATCTTAAAATGTGATTAAAGGGTTAACTGTTTATTTATATCACAAAAAAAAATAAGTATTGCACTAACAAATAAATAGCTTTTTTTGGGGAATTTCTTTAATGTTCTTAATTTTAATTAGGCCATCTAAATAGTTGATTTACTCTTAAGCTATCAGCGCGAAATCACTAATTATC